CGAGTCCCGCTTTAACGTTACGTAGGAAACGTTTCCCGACGCTCCTGCCTACTTCCGGGGCGCCGTTTCCAGTGGTCGTACCGCGCATGCTCCGCGAGGGAGCGTCAGGCCCTCACGTTCGGGCGTCTGCGTCCGGCCCAGTCTCGCGGATGGAAAGACGTACAGAAAGTTGCGGGGAGCGGCCTGTGTGTGTGTTTTCCCCAGGCCTCGGGTTACGTCTTAGGAAGGACTCGAAAGCGCGGACCTGCTTCCCCGCATATGGGACTGACTGCTGGGTGCGCGGTGGCCCTCCGGCTGTCTCCGTGTCTCTGGCCACGGGAGGGCCTGACTGGGACACCAACACTGAACCCGAGATATCATGGCACGATTTCCGACCATTGAATTATGTAAACATTTCTCGAGCATCCAAGCACTTAGTCGGGCCTTAGAGCCGACCACGAAGGGGACCCCGGCCTTGCTAGAGGCAAAGAGACTTTGGGGGCAGGCGGGGGGCCAACACCTAGTGCCGAGGAACCCGCAGGGCAGGGTAAGAGGGTGTTTCAGAGGCGGGGATGTCTGAACTGGGCTTTGAAGGATGAATGGGAGTTCTCCAGGCCGGCAGGCGGGGCGGAAGCACTCAAGATGGAGGAGACATCGCGTGCGGAGACATGGAGGCACGGGCTAGCCTGGCCGGGCCGGAGGAGTTTGGGGCGCCTGGCCTGCGAACCGAGCAGCAGGTGGCAGGAGCCTGGGATGGCGCGCCAGAGGCTGCTGGGCCAGGGAGGTTTCGTGGGCCAGCCCAGGGCCGTGGACCTCTGCCCTGCAGTCCCCGGGGCGTCTCCGTGTGGCTCAGAGAAGTCACGTGGCTGCCACCTTCACAGGGGCAGGGAAGACTCGCGCAGGCTGGTCGAGCGAAACGTGGGGGGCAGATGGCATTGGAACAGGAGCTCAGCCCACAAGGCCTCACCCCCACCCCCTAGCTCTCCTGGACCCCGTGGAATGCAGGGCCCTGTTCCTTGTGGTCCCCGGAGGGGCTGAGGCTGCCGTGGGACCCAGAACATCACGTGCTCCCCCGCCCCTATTCCGCAGCGCCCCCCCCCGTCCCCACTTTTCCCTGCAGTTTCCCCGCCCTTTGCATTAAAGCTGCTCTCTGCCCTGGGGACTCGCTGCATTTTCACAGAGCACCCTGAGCGGAAGACATATGAAAAAACTGTCTTTGTTTTTGATTATGTAATAAACCTCGCCTGAGTGTGCTGTGAAGGATGGCGCCATAAACCTGCTTGCAGGTGGCGGAGTGACAGCAGGCAGGCGGTGTCCCCGGTGCTGCCGGTCATTAGCTGATGTGGGGACAGTCAGGGCATCGCTCTGAGCCCTGGTTCCCTGGTCCCCAGAGTGGGAGCTGCCCGTGTGGTACGGTCTTGGGAAAGTCAGCCTAGCCAGGGGCCAGGATGTGTAGCTGGTTTTATTGTGCTGTGGGCGCCATTTTGTTTGGGGGCAAAAACTTAGGGATGTCACAGTGGAGAGAATTATAGGCACCTGATCCTGCCCTGTGTCTCAGCTCGGCTGTTGATGAGCGACCTTAGGCGGGTCCCTAGCTGTTTCTGAGCCTGTCCCCACTGGGCTCTGCTGAAGAGAGGCAGCAGTTAGGGGCTGGGGCGGGGGGCCACTTCTGGAGGAACCTGTGCTTCCAGGGCCTGACTCTTGACCTCTGCCTCTACTCCTGCCTTCTGCTCCTGTGTCGCTGCCCTCAGGCCCCTGCCAGTCCTGGAGGGGTCCTAGCGGGAGCGGGCCTTCCCACTCTAATGAGGAGTGAGCCCCGAGCCAGCCTTACGGGGAGGGTGGCATGTGGATGGGGTAAGAGGCAACTCATGGACGTTTCTCTCTCCTCGATGTGTCTCTCCCTCTCTTTCTCCTTCCCTTCCCCCCCGCCCCGCTCTAAAAAGAAATAAAATCTTCTTAAAAAGTCAGTTTAAGAAAAGATAAAGCCAGGGTGTGAGGCCTCATTCCGCATGGCTCCCTGCACCGCCCCCTTCCTGCAGGGCTGGCTGGACACTGTGTCTCCCTGAGTGGGGGTAGGGTGGGCAAGAGGGTGGAAGAGACCCACCCTTCCCTGACCTTGGCCCCGTGGGTGGGTGGGTGAAGGTGGAGCCTAGCGTGGGGCGGTCCTGCGACCCTCCTCAGCTTCCTCACCAGTTCCCATTCCAGCTTCTTTTAAACCCAGATCCCCTCCAGCCGGCCCAGCCACGGAAGAGGCTGTACTTGCCATTTCTTCGGGTGCCCCCCACCCCCACCCCTCGATGGCTGCAGAGTGGCCGCCCCGAGTCGCTTTGGGCGACACATGCAGCTTCTCTCTGGGTCCTCAGATGTCGGTGACATTTAAGCAGGCAGCCTGTGGCGGGGGGCGGGGGGGGGCCCCTCTCCCCCTCTTCTGTCCCTGTGGTTCCCTGATCTGGTCCCTCCCGTGGGGAGCCGACCTGAGAGACTGGTTTGGGCGTGGTGAAACTTTGGCCTTGTGTGTCTCTCCTCATCCTACCTGACAGCTCCCTGGTACCCGGCCCATCCCGATCGGAATGGGCCCTTTCCTGGGCTGGGCGAGAGCCAGGAAGCAATGCCTGAGGCCCTGAGCCGCCAGGTGGTTGCCAGGAGGCCCACGGGGACATTGCGTTCTGTGGGCAGGACATGTCCGTCCGCGGAGTCACTGGCTGGTGACTGAGGGGCCAGGCCTAATCTCCAGGCCTGTTTGGTTTGGCTGGAAGAGGAGTTTGTAATCGTGTTCCTGAGCTGTCAGCGCTGAAGAATTTCGGGATCTCCCACGAGCAGCCTGGGGCTCTGGCCTTGGAGCAACTGCGGGGGGGCGGGGGAGGAGTGTCCGCCAGCCACACCCTCCTGGGGCTGACAGGGTGCCGGCCGGAATGGTGGCGTCGTCACGGCGGCTGAGGAGAGTGAGGGGCGCAGTCCAGCGGAGTTCCTGGGGCAGCGCCCAGCCGGGGCACGTGGGAAGCCCTCTGCAGGTGACCCGTGGTCACTGTCCTTGGATGACAAACACACGGGGTGCATCAGCTGGGCTTATATGCAGCCGCAGCTGGTCCCCAGGCTTGGGGTGGGGTGGACCCCCAAGCCCACCCCAGGGAGCTTGGGTCAAGGGCAGGTGGGAGAGCTCAGGACTGGAGGGGCCTGGACAGTGTCTCGGCTCCACACGGATGTGTCACCTGTGAGACCTGGCATCCGCCTCCTGGCCTCTCATAGACCAGCCATGTGTGACTAGTGACACCCCAGGAACCTGTCACACAACTGTAAGCAGGTGTCCTACAGGCAGGGCCAGAGGTGGGGCTGCAGCCCCATCCTGCCACAGAGAGGGGACCCCGCTGGCAGACTGGCCGCCTCGGGGGCCAGCCCCGGGGACCGTGGCAGGGGCGCAGTCCGCCGGCGTGCAAACCTGTCCATCCCTGGACACCTGTGCCTTGGGATCTGACACCGAGCCACCTGCCCATGGCCTCATCGGGCCCTCGGGTCGGGGGCGGCATGATTACCGGCTCCTTCGCCGTCCTCACAGCGCTGACCAGTGGGCCTGGGCCCAGCCCGCGTGCACCTGCACTGCGGGATCTGGAAACCCAGGCAGAGCACGTCTGTTGTCCTGGGGCCATGGTTGGGGCCAGGCTGTTCACCAAGAGCCCAGGAGTGGCCTCTCAGGAAACAGCACCCGCTCAGGTCCCTGCCCACCCAGCGGGGGCGCCTCTCCGCTCACTCCACGGGGCTCCCCTGAAGGCGACCACCAGGCTTCAGCTGGCCAGGCCGCCTGTTTGAGCACCTGCTGTGAGCCAGCCCGGTGCCGGGCAGGAGACGCAGCGGCGTCGCGCCCTGTGCTATCCCTGCGGGGCTCGTGGCGTGCTGGGGAGGCCGGTGATGACACCACCGCACGAGAGGAGCAGCGGGCGTGGAAACCAGGCCAAGCACACCAAGGAATGCTGCCCGTAGGAGGGGGCCCTAGGCGAGGCAGAAAGGGGGCAGGTTGCTCAACTGGGGAGCCGGCTGGCCCTGAGAATGAGGACGCAGCAGATGGCGCTGGGGACTCTCCGGTTTATTCCGCACGTGCACAGCCACATTCTCCCGGGGACCCTGAGCTGGGTTTGTCCGTCCCAGTGGGCTGGGGGCAGGGCCTGTGGGGGAGGAGCTCTTGGCGTTTCCTTGAATGGTGTCACTATTCCTGTGAGACATGTCTGATCACCCCGTTCTGCAGATTGGAAAACTGAGGCTCTGGCAGGTGAAAGGATGTGCTCGGCGCCGAATGGCTCCACAGCCCGGCGCTGCTGCCGACCCCAGGCAAGTGTTCTCTTCCCTCAGGCGGCACAGGCTTTCCCCCTGCCTGTGATAGTGGCAGTGGGATGTTTGGGGGCCCCAGGGTGGGCAGAGGAAGGGGAAGGCCTGCTCTGAGCTCGGGTGCCCCTGGGAGACATGGTGAAAGCCCCAGCCTCCTCCCCAGAAAGGCCCACAGACACGCCTGGCACACACCTTCGGAGCCACGTGCAGGGACCCTGGATTGAGAAGCTCTGGCCCGAGCCAAGTGATGGTGCCTGTGGACGAGACCCAGTCCCACCCCCAGCTGTCGGACAAGAGGGACGGGCCCCACAGGACAGCCGCTCTCTCCTTCCCTCTGCCCCGCCTGGCTCACGGCTGGGCCACTCAGCGGAGCACGGAAGGGCGGCAGCAGAGGCCGCGACAGGCCCCCACCCGTGGGCCCGGTTGCGGCAATGGAGGCTGGGGCGGCGCCTGTGCAGCTGTGGGTTCCAGTCCGCGGGAGACACCTGGGGGGGCAAAGCTGCGGGGTGGGGCGGGGCACCGCTGCTAAGATGGGGATTGGGGACTTCAGCTCTGCTCGATGTGGCCACCCTGCCCAGGGCCGCGGTTCTTGTCTGTGGCGTGGGGATGGGGCCAGCACCCGCCTCGGAGGGTCCCTGTGGGAGCCAGGAGACAATGGCCCCGGGGGCTGCTGGCAGGCACCGGGTTGCCGGCGGCCGCTGCTGTCACTCGGGCTCCCCGGCGAGGAAGGGCACCACCTTCCACATGTGCCGCTGGCAGTGCTCCATGGCGTTGCACATCTCCGCCGCCTCCTGGCTCGCGCACCAGAAGCTCGGGCCCATGACGCACTGGTCGGTGCCCAGCAGCGGGGTCCTGGGGGCATGGCAGGCGCCCACCTTTGTGCACAGCCCGACGGGGTCCAGTACCTCCTTGAGGGTCTCGATGAGCACAGGCTCGTACTCGTCCACGAAGCGGTGGCACTGGATCAGGTAGGGCAGCGGCAGAATGCTGCAGCCGCCCTTGAAGGCCTTCAGGATGTTGCGCTTGGTGGTCTTGCGCTCCAGGTTCTGGGAGGACACGCCCAGCAGCCGCTTGCACCCGTTGCAGAAGCGTCCCTGGTTCTCTGTGTCCAGCAGGGGCGGCAGGGTGATTCTGTGGGGCTGGCGGATGGCCCGGGCCCGCCGCGGGGGGCTGCAGAGCCGGACGGCCCCGCACACCTTCTCTGGGGGGACCCTGGTCACGAACTGCACCAGGGTGGGGCTGTACATGTCCACCATGGTGACGCACTGCCTCACGATGGACGCGGGCATCACGGAGCACACGCGCTCCAGGCCCTGGCGGATCAGGGCCTCCGTGCTGTCTGAGTCCAGCCACTGGTCCAGCTCCTGGATCACTTGCAGGCAGACGTCGCAGGTCAGGCCGGTGTTCATCTGGACCAGGTTCCTCTCCCTGGGGGACACCGGGTCTAGGGACGGCACCTCGGTCGCGGCGGGCCCCGGCATTGCCTCGCAGAAGCCCCCTCTCTCGCATGTCTCCTCGGGCAGGACCAGCTTCAGCATGTGCTCCGCTGGGGCGAGGAAGCGGAGGGTGTACTCCTTGCACAGCAGAGCCAGGCCGGGGGCCAGGGACTTGCACTGCTCCTGCGTGGTCACCTCTGCCAAGCTGGACATGTTGGACCCGACGGCGTCTTGGAGCCGGGACACCAGCTGGATACAGTCCTGGCACACAGTGTCCTCAGGCTGCAGAGGGCGGAAGCTGGGGGGCCCACTGGCCATGAATGGGGCCACCGCCTCGGACGTGTCCTCCTCGGAGAGCGACCCCGGCGTGGCCGGGGGCCTCTGCAGTGGCCGGCAGAGGGTGAGCGCAGCACACACCTGGGCGGGGGCGCCGCCTGGGTCCCCCCGCAGTATGTACAGGAGGACCGAGCTGTGGGCGTCCGCCATCTCCTTGCATTTGGCCGAAGAGTTAAGGCTGGGAAGCCACTCACAGGTCTTTGTCACCAAAGCGAGGGTGTCAGTCTCCGTGGCGTTGGGGTTCAGCCCGTTGCTGCCAGCGGCCACCACGTCCTGGCACAGGTCGCAGGGCAGGGACCTGGCGGTGGGCTTGCCCCAGACGGCGCCGCGGCAGTGCCCCACGGCCCCGCACTGCACTGCTGCCTGCAGGTCCTGACACCACGTGGCCGCGCCCCGTGCACACTCCTGGGGGCCCTGGATGGGGCTGGCCAGCGCGGCCCCCAGGAGGCTGGGCAGGAGAAGCAACACAGGGAGCATGCTGCTCAGTGACTGGGCGGCTCCACGGCCCCGGCGCCCGGGCCGCTGCTATAAACCGGGGCGGCTGTCCCGGGCCCGCCCTCTGCGCCGCCTCCCACGGCCTGACTCATGCGGGCTCCCCTCCCCGGCCTCCTTTCCAGCCCTCTGCCAGGTGTGCCTTCTTCCCCCGGGTGGACTCGCATCGCCTGTGGGAACCAGCTCGCCTTTGAAGAGGCACAACCCAGAGGCCCCTGTCCCGGGAGGCCCGCCTGCCCCTCCCGCCCACGGCCACGGCCTGGGCTCAGTCCCGTCCCGACTTGTCGGCGTGAGGCAGGGTCCCCTCCTAGAATGGGAGACCCGGGGGATTTCCGGCCCCGCCTGGGAGGTCCGTGAAGCATTCCATCCGTGTTTTGCTAGAAAGTTTAGTGCCTTTGGTGTATGCCCAGCTACCAAAGCTGCTGCTCCCATGCTTGGCCCTGAATGGCGAGCCAGGCCCGGGCGCTCGCCGCTGCACTGTTTGGGGAGGGGGTTTCGAGGAGTCTCGGGGCTTCCTCTGTGATGAGAGCGCCCATCACCTCCCAGGACAGCCCCAGACGTGAAAGCCACTGGCCACGTGGGTTGCTGGGCCCAGGCAGGTGCTTGTGGTGGAAACTCGGGCAGGCGTGGGCTGGCCCTCCGTGGACCTGAGGATGCTGACTGGAAGGCCACCTCCGCAGCAGGGTTGCAGTCCTGGGCCGTCAGTTACTCTTTAGTTTTTAGCAGAGTTCTCAGGCGAGAGAGTCAGTGCTGGGCAGAGGCACGCAGGTGGGCCCCGTTTATTAAAGGGCAAGTTCCAGAGCCAGGCTGCCCGGGCCTGATGTCCACGTGGCTCACTGCCCACCGCGGGCCCCACCAGGGTGGGGGGGGCCCGATGGTAGGGCGCTGCACAGGGACCACCTTCGCCCCTCAGGTGTGAGCCCCTTGCGTGGTGCCCTGGCCCCGATTCCGGGCCTCGGAGAGCACAGGGGGCGGGGCGCCCGGGCCGGAGGCTGAGCCGCCCTGGTGGAGGAATGCGGACCAGGCTGTTGGCCTGCCCTCCTGCTGGTGTGCAGCGCTGGGGACAGCGTGGGGACACGGACTTCGCTCAGCCCCTCATGCCACGGCCAGGGGCTGCGGCTCCTTGGACCCGAGGTGGGGCTGGCCTCAGGCACGAAGCCGGCCTGGGCCCTCCCAGCTGCAGGGACGGCGGCTGCCGGGCTTCACCGCCACCACGATGGCGCTGGGGGTGGGGCCGGGGGGCAGCAGGTGTTGGGTCGCGTCAGCCCTCCGTTCAGTGGGTCTCCTGACACCGCAGGCGCCCACGGTCTGCCTCCGAGGACCAGGCCCAGGGCCCGGCCCCACAGTGTGAGCGTCCCGGCCTGGCGGCCCCGCCCCCTGCCCAGCCCCTGGGTGCTGCTGCGGGCGCCGCACGGCCCAGGGCCCGGGACACTCTCCCCGTCTTCTCATCCCTCCAGCCCAGTGCCCGCTGATGAAATACTGAATTGGTGTTTTGTTTTTACAAAGTATATAGGAGCCTTTTCTTTGGGACTTTCTCATTTTTAACTTTTTATTGAAATACTGGGTTGGCCAAAAAAGTCCATTTAGTTTTTTCCATAAAATAAAACCCACGTTTTTCCTCTTCACCAATAACTTTATTGATATTTTGAGTGTGTCGGCTGCCTTCTGTTGATTGTTTTCCATTAATGTCTCAATTGGATCGCTATTAACTTTGACTGGCCTACCTGAGTGTGGAGCATCGTCGCCCCACGTGAAACCTCCAGCAAGGAACTTCGCAAACCACTGTTGACACATTCGGTCAGTCACAGCACCTCCTCCATGCACCGCACACATCTTTTTGCATTTCAGTTGCATTTTTACCTTTCTTGAAATAAAGCGTAACATGCCAGAAATGTTGCATGTTTTCTTCCATCTTCAGTGTCAAAATGGCTGCACAAAAATTCACCCATTTTGATATTTTCTAAAAAACTGCACCCTGCCGTGAGCGCTGACACAGCACAGCGCGACTGAGCTGTTGAGCGAGGTCAAGGGCAGCGGAGCGCTGCTGGAGCCCCGGGTGGGGAGGCCGGGTGGACTCCTGGGCCAGCCCGCTATCTCCCGTGTACAGAGGGGGCATAAGTTGTACACGTTCAGCTTAGTGCAGGTCCCCAAACTGAGCAAACACCCGGATCCAGACAGAACAGCGACAGCTCCCAGCAGCCCCAGAGCATCTGCTAGTCACCCCCAGGTCCCGCCCCGCGCCCTGAGCCGCCTCTCCAGGTCGCTGGTGTCTGACTTCGGGGGGCAGTGTTAAGTCTGTGAGGTTCGTCCACGCTGCGGCGTGGGGAGTGTGGGTCGGGTACCCCCTTCTCTGCAGGATTCCACTGGGTGATTTCGCCTCATTTATTTTCCTGCTCTTTCCTCGGTGGGTGTGCGAGTCATTTCCACGCTGAGGCCACAAGGACTCCGCCCGTGTCAGGAGGTGCTGGGACTTACCAGCGAGCGGAAATGCTGGGATCAGGGCGCCGGCATCGAGGGCACACCCACGTGGGGTCCTTCCACCTGTGCCCGCCGCCGCCCCCCCCAGAGCCTCTTTTGTTTAATTTTCATCTAATATACAGCTTAGCGAGCAGCTGGAAACAGCCAGGGACTCTTGTGTGACTTTAACTCAGCTACACTGGCCCCGTTTGCTCTGTGGCTCCCCCTACCCCCATCTCATCTGTGTATCCGCACACGTGTGGATTTCCAGATACTCATTTCCTAACCTGTTGAGAGTGGGTTGGAGACATTGTCCCTTTCACCCAGCCTCCTAGGACCAGGACATGCTCCCATCGTCACAGTGCACGTGTCATTTCGAGAACCGTGACGCTGAGGCAGCACTGTCCTCTCACCCGCCGCCGCGCACCCTCACCGTCAGTGGCTTTCCAAGCGCGGCCCCGGCGCAGCCTCTCGCCCACGCGGCTGGCACCAGGGAGGCGCCAGTGCGGGGTTATTCACCTCTCGCTGTTGGTGCGCGCGGGCCGACGGGATGCGCCGCACAGAACGCGGGCGGCTGTTGGGGGCGCTTGGGGGAGCTCCCGGGGGTCGGGGTTGTCCGGGCTGCACAGGCGCCCCCCCCAGGCTTTCCCAAGGCGGGGGCGCCAGGCTCTGTGACCCGCAGCGTCACTCCGCGTTGCGCTGACTCCAGCCCCGCAGTATGACACGGTGGGGCCGGGGCTCGCCTGCTGCCTGCCGTCTAGCAGGCGGCAGCGTTTGCTGTCTGCTTTCCTGGTTCCGGTAAGGAAGCTCTCTGGCGCTTTCTCACTTTCTGTCCCCATGTACCGAAGAGCCCGGCGACAGTGGCGTGAAGGGGTCGGGGGAGGCCTTTGCGGGGAGCCCCTGTCTGGAGCCCAGGTGGGGGAGGGGAGCAGAGGGGGTGGGGCGTGCTCACGAGGACTCGGGCAGGTCTCGCCATCGGTCACCCTGCTGTGCAGGTGGAGGAGCTGGCCCGGAGCACGCAGCTTCAGGGACGCCTGGTCCCAGCCCCAGCCCGGCGAGGCCCGTACCCCGTGTTCCGGGACACCTGCCTGCAGGGAGCTCTGCGGCTCGCCCCCCTCCCTCCCGTGGCCCACTCGCAGCCCGCCCCTCGTCCTCTCTGCCCATCTACGGGGCGACGCTTCTGCCCCTGCCCAGGCCCCACCTGCACGGCCTGGCCATGAAGGGCCCAGGGTCGGATTCGTGCAGTCACTTGTGCCGAACGGATTTCTGTGCCCCCTGGGGTGACCTTGGGGCTCTATGGGGAAGAAGGCGGGTGAGGAGTGGGCCTTCTGGTGCGGGGGACCGACCCCGAGCAAGTGACTGCCAAGTGGCCGTTCTAATGCCAGGTGGGGACGCATCCTGGGGAGCAGGAGAAGGAGGGAGGAGGGCAGGGAGGAACCGCAGCCTGCAGGCCGCCCGGGAAGGGGCCGTGAGCGCCGCTCTTGGTGTCGCGGCTTCATGGGGGAGCCCCAAGAGGGTGTCTGGTGGGCCAAGGCCCTGCCGGCGGGGGGGTCCCTGCTGCCCGTTGAGCGGCCGCCAGGAGGCAGGGAGGCTGCCCCCCGGAACGGTGAAGCCCCTCAGAGGGGTCGCTGGCTGCTCCCGAGAAGGTAGGCTTAGGGCTTATCCAAGTACCGTCACTGCGAGGCCTGGCAGAGGATGGCGCAGGGGAGGGGCTTGGGGGGAGGGCAGTGCAGGGGGGGTCGGGGCCCCCAGGACAGCACCCTGCCAGGGAGCCCGGGGGGCAGGCCCGGCTCCACAGCGCAGGGGCCGTCCGGGCTGGCAGGTCCGGCTGGGTGGGGAGGGCGGCCAGGGAGCTGCGTGGGAGGCTGGGACTCGTGCCGCTGGGTGGGGGCCCGTGGGCGTGCGGGCAGAGTTCCCGTGCAGGAGCGGGGCTGGGATTCCTGAGCAGGGCTGGGGGAGGGGAGCGCCGGCAGCACCCGGTTGTGGAATCTCCTCAGCGGGAGGTCGGTGGGATTGGGCCTCACTGCTCAGCCCCACGGAGGAGCTGGACTGGCCAGTCGGCCCGACCTAGATCAGTGCATCTGCCTTCCACCCGCGGGCGGCGTGGCCTGTCCCTCCCCTCACGCCGAGGCACCCGTGTTCCCATGGGTGCGGAGGGGTGGCGCCTGCAGGGTCAGAGGCCACAGAGCGACGGGCACAGCGGAGCGCGGTGCGAGAGGCAGACGGGTTCCTCCTCTCTCCCCTGGGGGCCCCTCGGCATCTTCCGCCCCCGCGCAACCTGATGCCCGCGCCCACCCCCCGCCCCGGGACTGGCCGGCCTGTCTCGCCCTGACACCAGAGGGAGGAGACCGTGCCCTCAGTGCCACCAGCCCTGGGGGCCCGAGCCTGAGATCGAGGTCTAGGGAGGGCCCAGCGCTGGAGGCAGTGCCTCCCGGCATCCTTGTGGGCCCTGGAGGGGACAGGTAACCCCGTCTTCTGGGGCCTGTGCCCGCCTGACTCCAGTCCCTGCCTCCATCGTCACGTGGTCTCCTGGCTGGGTCTGTGAG